ATCCAAAGGCAGTCTCTCAGTGGAAAAACTTTCTTTTTGAGGGATGTTACAATTGTGCTAAAATACGAACAAAAGCCGTTTGATATTGTTAAGGGATCAGACGTGTTAATTGAGCCTATTTTAAACATTGGCGGAGAAGATTTGCTAGGATTGTTTGGGTATAGCTTCTTAATGACACTCCAAAAACTGTCCAAGTTGTTTGACGTTTCATTCAGCAAATCCTTATAATAAGCCTGCTTTGCTTTATTCAATAACGAGTTCACCTCATTACGCTTTTTCCTATATGCAACATTACAACTTGTTGACAAGCTTGCTACAAGCCAGTTGCGAACACATCTTGTTGACAAGTTGTGAGATTTCTTATATGTGTGTACACACGAGCAAAAACTCATATCTTGTAGCAAGTCTGCCAACAAGCCGTCACCAAGCTGTGTTCGCACTGCTTGTCCCAAGTTGTCAACAAGTATGGAACAAGCTGCTAACAACTTGTAACAACCTTGTTCATATTATCAGACATGTGACAAGGTTGTTACAACAAGTCCGATACAGACATGATATAACAATATTGTTACAACCTTGTGTCGTCAGCCTTGTAACATTCTTGTTGCATCATGACTGTATCAGACCTGTTAGAACAACCTTGTCACAAGTCTGATAATGCCACCAAGCTTGTTACAAGTTGTTAACAGCTTGTTCTAAACTTGTTACAACAATTGGGAACAAGCAGTGCGAACACAACTTGTCGACAGCTTGTGAACAGATTTGTAACAACTTGTTTGCAGACCTGCAACAACTTGTGCGTTTTTACGTGTGTACGACGCATCTATGTGGGCACTTCGTGGAAGACCACAAAAGCAAAAATGTATTTAAAACATGTACCTATCAAGTTCAATTTTTCGTTGTAATCAAATGCGTTAACACCTTGAGATATCTTGAATACAGTCCTAGAAAAGAAGAATAAGAAATCAAACGGCACGATGACATGCAAACAAAACGCTAAAAAGCAGTACATACGTTCTCATTGTACTTTTAGTTTTTTCCATCCATCCCAAGACCAAGGCATTCTTGTAGTTGGTTGCACACGATATAAAGCAATCCAGAACACCGGTGTACATCACTGCCAAGAAAACACCAATGTAATAATATGTTTCACTATACACACACTAATCTGTTATTATGTTGTTGTTGTCGTTGTTTTGTTGCCGTTTGTGTCGTTGTTGTTGTTGTTGTTGTCGTTGTTGTTGTCGTTGTCGTTGTCGTTGTCGGCGTCGTCGTCGTCGTCGTCGTCGTCGTCGTCGTTGTTGTCGTGGTTGTTGTTGTCGTCGTTGTTGTTGTCGTCGTTGTTGTTGGTGTTGTTGGTGTTGTTGTTGTCGTTGTCGTTGTCGTTGTCGTTGTCGTTGTTGTTGTTGTTGTTGTTGTTGTCGTCGTTGTTGTTGTTGTTGTTGTTGTTGTTGTCGTCGTTGGTGTTGGTGTTGTTGTTGGTGTTGTTGTTGTCGTTGTTGTTGTTGTTGTTGGTGTTGTTGTTGTTGGTGTTGTTGTTGTCATCGTTGTTGTTGTTGTTGTTGTTGTTTCTAATGTAAGTAGATAACTTTTAGGAACACATCTGGTCCACGATACACGACAGCAAAATGTCTTGGCCTGATAGAAAAAAGTTTCAAACCTTGTCTGGTCCATTCCGTATGTCCTTCATGAAAGGCAAAACGACAGTTTTTATAATGACCTTTCGCGATATCACCGATGTCCACAATCAATGTAATGTCTACAAGAAAACATCGTGATACATTAACACATCATGCAACTTAGTACCAAAATGCATTATGCTCATGAGTACCCTCGTTTATATATAGCAAAATCCAGTAAGTAGCGCATGAAAATGCTCATTAGATGCTAAAATAAGGTATGCTCATCTAAAATCCAGCATGCTCATGAGCACCCTCATAGATATACCAAAATCCAGTGTCCTCATAAAAATGCTCATGAGCATATTAGTCGCAAGAACTCCCTTTACAAATGCCAGCACTCCCTTTTCAAATGCCGCAACTCCCTTTTAAAATGACAAAACTCCCTTTTCAAATGGCAGAACTCCCTTTTCAAATGGCAGAACTCCCTTTTCAAATGCCAAAACTCCCTTTTCAAATGGCAGAACTCCCTTTTCAAATGGCAGAACTCCCGTTTCAAATGCCAGAACTCCCTTTACAAATGCCAGAACTCCCTTTTCAAATGGCAGAACTCCCTTTTCAAATGCCAAAACTCCCTTTTCAAATGCCAAAACTCCCTTTTCAAATGCCAGAACTCCTTTTTCAAACGCCAGAACTCCCTTTTCAAATGCCAGAACTCCCTTTTTAAATGCTAGAACTCCCTTTATAAATGCCAGAACTTGGTTTTCAAATGCCATAACTTGGTTTTCTCAAATGCCAGAAGTACCTTTTCAAATGCCACAAATCCCTTTTCAAACGCAGTCTGACTTGGTTTTCAAACGCCAAAATTCCGTTTTCAAAGTATTACTGGACTTTGCATGGTACATATATGAGCGTGCTCATGAGATACCGAAATAAGGTATGCTAAACAGACAATCGGCTCGTGCTTTAAAGTGTAATTCCCACCTTGCTGGTTCGAGCTGGCTTGCGCTGAACGGTCGAATAAGGAGATGGTAGATTCACAAAATATCAAAGCATTCACGCAGCCGGCCACGTCACCAAACACGAGAATCGACTCGTTTGGTTGTTCAGGATTGGACCTAATGAAAAGTATTAAGAATGCATGTTGAAATATTGAACAGTACAGCAAATCACACAGCTGGGTTCGATTCCATTTGGATCATTGAAAAATTGAGCAATGCTATAAGCAAATATAAGTTACCAGAAATTTAACGAAATCGGTGTAGATTTCAAACCACGAATCCGATATTGACAGAGAAATTCAGATTTGGAACTCAGGTCATAAATTGCTGAAATTAATAGAATAGGATAATTATATTAAAGGGCTGTAGGGCCAACAAGGTGGCACCTAGCCTGTGTAGCACCCGGTTTTTTGGGTGAGGACTTGCGGGCTGGAAAATTAGGGCGGGAGAACCTAATTGATAATTCCATTCTTACCAATTTCTTTGCTTGTCATAGCCAATACCAATTTATAGATGTTCTGCATTGGAACAAAATCAGTGATCCACAGATCTCTCTGTTTTACTCCATCTGGCTCCGTAGTTACCTGTATGCAAAAGCAATACTATAGACAACTTGCATGTTAGACTAATTTTCATCTAAGGCAAAAAAAGTAAATTCCCGTAAAGAACTTATTAAAATTAGTAAAACTGCAAAATTTAGTTACGAAATGTTGTAAAATACGAAAAATATAGCCTTGCGAAGTTTGCATATTTTGCCAGTATACAGTATGTTTGTATTACGTGCGGAAATTGTTACCATTTTTGAACCGAAAATGGTAACAATTTCCGCACGTAATACAAACATATACAAAACTATATCTTACACGGCTTAGTGAAAAGCAACGACAACTTTGTAAATATTTTTTTAGTTGATTAGCTACCGTGTAAAAAGATGTTTTAATAAAAATAATAATTATAATAATAACACTGTAAATGTTATATGATTTACAGTCAAAAGTTTTTCATCTACAATATATTAATACCCTTCGGCAATTCGTTCTACTTACGCGTATTGTTCTAAATGGCTTCATGTTCAAGTTCCAAATAACAGCAACACCTTCCTAATGCAGAAAATATTACAGTAAAAGTTTATATTAGATCTTATTTCTAAAGGTCGATTCACGCTGCACAACTTTTGCCCAAAACTGTCGCGCAACCTGCTTACAACTTGAGTTGTACTGTGTAAATCAAGTGCACATCTTGCTAATTACGTTGTCGTACACGCGTAAAAACGCACAAGTTGTTACAAGTCTGCAAACAAGTTGTTACAAATCTGTTCACAAGCTGTCGACAAGTTGTGTTCGCACTGCTTGTTCCCAGTTGTTGCAGCAAGTTTGAAACAAGCTGTTAACAACTTGTAACAAGCTTGATGGCATTATCAGACTTGTCACAAGGTTGTTCTAACAAGTCTGATACATTCATGATGGACAAGAATGTTACAAGGTTGATGACACAAGGTTGTAACAATACTGCTATATCATGACTGTATCGGACTTGTCGAAACAACTTTGTCACAAACCTGATAATATCGACAAGGTTGTTACAAATTGTTAACAGCTTGTTCCAAACTTGTTGACAACTTGTGACAAGCAGTGCGAAGACAACTTGTTGACGGCTTGTTGACAAACTTGTTACAAGATGTGAGATTTTTACGTGTGTAGGTGAGTTGTGTGCTTGATTTACACAGTACAACTCAAGTTGTAAGCAGGTTGCATAAACTCAGGAACAGTGTTTCATAAAATGTTTTTATTGTTTAGTTTATATCTTTATACCTTACTAACAGTCACATATCTTGGTGGGTTCATCAACATTGTAATCTTTTGAATACTTTCTTTGTGGGGGCTGTAAAGTAGAGAATTGTGCATAATTGCATCTACTTGTTAGAACAACCTTGTAACAAGCTTGATAATGCCATCAAGCTGTTAACAGCTTGTAACAAGCTTGTTGATATTATCAGACTTGTTGCAAGGTTGTTCCAACAAGTCTGATAGAGTCATGATATAACAATATTGTTACAACTTTGTGTCGTCAATTTTGTAACATTCTTGTTATGTCATGTTACTGTACACATGCAAAAATCTCACATCTTGTAACAAGTCTGCCAACAAGCCGTCAACAAGATGTATTTGCATTGCTTGTTACAAGTTGTCAACAGATTTGGAACAACTTGTTGACAACTTGTAACAACCTTGCCAAAATTATCAGACTTGTTGTAAGGTTGTTCTGACAAGTCTGTTACATGCTTGATATAACAAGATTGTTACAACCTTGTGTTGACAACCTTGTAACATCCTTGTTATATCATGGCTGTAACAAACTTGTTGGCACAGTCTTGTAACAAGGCTGATAATGCCATCAAGCTTGTTACAAGTTGTTAACAGCTTGTTCCAAACTTGTTACAACAAACTGGGAACACAACTTGTCGACAGCTTGTGAACAGACTTGTAACAACTTGTTTGCAGACTTGTTACAAGCTGTGCATTTTTATGCGTGTATCAGACTTGTTAGAACGACCATATGTAACAAGTCTGATAATGCCATCGACCTTGTTACAAGTTGTTAACAGCTTGTTGATATTATCAGATTTGTTGCAAGGTTGGTCCAATAAGTCTGATACAGTCATGATATAACAATATTGTTACAACCTTGTGTTGTCAACCTTGCAACATCTTGTTATATCATGACTGTATCAGACTTGTAATAGAACAACCTTGTAACAAGTCTGATAATGCCATCAAGCTTCAGTTCCAAGTTGTTAACAGTGTGAGCTTAACTATATACACTGCATGTTAAAACGCACAAGTTGTTACAAGTCTGCAAACAAGTTGTTACAAATCTGCTCACAAGCTGTCAACAAGTTGTGTTCGCACTGCTTGTTCCCAGTTGTTGTAACAAGTTTGGAAGAACCTGTTAACAACTTGGAACAAGCTTGATGGCATTATCTGCAGACTTGCTACAAGGATGTTCTAACAAGTTTGATAGAGTCATGATCTAACAAGAATGTTACAAGGTTGACGACACAAGGTTGCAACAATATTGTTATATCATGACTGAATTGGACTTGTTGGAACAATGTTGCAACAAATACAATAATATCAACAAGGCTGTTACAAGTTGTTAACAGCTTGCTCCAAACTTGTTGACGGCTTGTTGACAGACTTGTTACAAGATGTGAGATTTTTACATTGGGTGGGCCAGAAAATGACCAAGTGATTTATCTCAGGTTTTAACTGTTGTATTTACCTGTTGATATTTTTCATTTCTCTCCATTGTGGTACCTACAAAAGATCATATATGATTTTGGTGCAGATGCGTATCACGCTTTATATACATCTCAAAAAACCCATCTGAGTCCCAACGAGTATATACCACATAACCTTCAGATAACTGGACAGACGCTCTAATGATCGTTGAGCTTACAATTCGTAGATCTCAGCAATTTGTAACATTGTGCGACATGCAGCAATTTGTAACATTGTGCAACATTTACCAGTGTGTAAAAGAGTGTAACACTGTATAACACTGCATGATAACAATGTGAAACAGAATCAATGGGAATCATGCCTATTTCAAGTGTGGAAGCAGTTATGCTTTTTTTGGCCGAGTAGACCTTCTGTTTGTCTCTATTCTGTGGCCAAATTCCCCACTTCAACAAACCTGCGTAGTTTTCAATCTATCATCTTTCTCCTGATAATCACGCTGCATGTGGGAACAAAATTTATCCCAGTCCACAAAACCTTCTTTGTCCGTGTCGATAGTGTCAAACAACTCACGAAATTCAGCCTTATTTCCATCAATCACAATGCTAGACAGCAGCTCACAAAATTGTTCAATGTCTCGTTTCAGCTCAACAGTGTCCAGAAGAATTATCTTTGTTAAACACAGAAGATAACATGTTATTATAATATACAATAATGCTCTTTACATGACAAACTAGATATGAACGGAAAGTAGTCTTTTTCCTGAAACTTACAGGGAATGATCTTTGTATTGCTCTGAGTTCTTGTATAGTCAATCTGCTCAATAACTTCAGTTTGCCAAAACTTGTCACATTGGCACTGTTTCTATAGGAAAGACAGCATGTGAAATATTACATTCTGAGCACAAATTAAGTTGAAAGATCTCCCACATTTGGGGACCACCCCTTCCCCCCCCCCCCAGTGCCTTTAAAAAATTGATCAAATATCAATAAAACCTCCATTGATTTCATGCCATAGTTCAATACTCAACCCACAATATTGTTCGTTACAAAAATATTCGAATAAATATTAAATATACGAGTTACTTATAACTCAACTGTTTGTAGCCGTCTGGCTGTTTTTCACCATTTTTTGCCCCATCAATTTGGCTCGGTTTTCCTTCTGGTAAAGGCTTTTCCATTTTGTATACATTATATACGCATCATAGTTCAAAAATGTAACTCAAAACGAAGCGAATTGGTACTTAAATTTGAACAAATTTGTATTTTTGTTTTTGAAATGTATTGTAGACATTCAAAATTGAATGCTTTGCGCTAGATGGTAGCGGCGCCGTTGTCAAGGAAATATATACCGGAGGTTTCATGTAAATGTAGAAATTAATACCCGGGTATTGGCGGGTAATATAGTACCGGCATTTTAATATCGAACATATATTAATACCTGTATTGGAGAATAGAGAAGTGTATTATTTTGAAGAAAATGTGTCAAACTTTCTGTGATCACAGTAGGAATTTTGCATAGGTAAACTCTAAGTTTTTAAGGATTTGTGAGTAATGTTTGAGGGAAAATCCTTCGAAACTTAGAAATTCCTAAAAGGCAGTTTCACAGACAGACTTCATTCAGGTCACCGGAAATTGGCCTCCTCCGCAAGCAACACCAAAAACGTCGAAAATTTCTATAATATTGTGATATTTTTATATTATTTTGTATTGTAAGTTTTGTTCCTGGACAGAGGTTCCTGAGTTAGCTAACCCAACAAGCCTTTTCTATGTGTAAATATCATATTATTATAGAACTTCGACGTTTTTGAGATGCAGAGTGGGCTAACCGGAAATAGTCCCATCAAAATATCCTTGAAGTTCATATTAGAATATGCAATCAAAACAACATGGATTCGATAGCGAAAACTGTCTTCACAAGTAAACTAAACTCCGTCACCGATTCTGTAAGCAAAGGTTTTAACTTTGGAGACGAAAAAGAAGAGAAAGACGATGACCAGCAACTGACTTCGAAAGAAGTGCGTAAATTGGAAGAACAAGATCGAGCAGAACGAGCGAAGAGAGATGAACAACATGCGAAAAGGAACGAGCAAAGACAAAAGAAAAGGGAAGCAATTCGTGCGAAATATGGACTATCAAACGAAAAGGAAAGCGGGGAAAGACGGCCTTCGCAAGGAAAGGCAGATGATAGTAAAAATACGGAGGAAAAGTCGTGTGCTGTTATGTAAAGTTGGGTTTATATCGTGTTTAATATATTAATGGTCAATAATGGTTGTTCACACTGTGTTCAAGTTCCCGTTTGTCATGATGTCACAACTCGACATGAATTTCAAGATTGTGGTCATGTTTAAGCCTGTCATTAGCCTGAACAATGAAGGAATCGTTTGCAGTCATAGCAAGTTAAAAACAATCTACCTTTACAGTGTGTAAATAAATACTCAACTTTATATATTTTTGATACTTTTATTAATTAAATAATATAATTTGGGTAGGTCAACAAGCTCTTGATATGGTTGGAACAACATGGTTAAATATTCATGGTTAATTAACTATAAAGCTCTACCAACAACAGTCAGATGTGCTATGTGTCATAATCAGTAGAGAGTGCCTTTGTATTTCCAATGAACATCTCACATCTGCCACTCCTGTGCACATGCACATACTTTGTTTACGTTTGAACTGCTATATTTGTAAAATATAATATACTAACTGAATATCTAACACTTTTCTGGTTCGCTATGCTTGCAAATGCATATAAACTCTGCGCAGAACAGAGTGGAAATCATCTTTAATGACAATAGTCTTAAACATTAATACTGATCAAATGCTTACCACATACCAACTTTTAACAAGCACATTTCTTCGTGAGTCAAGAGACTTGTCAACTTGAAATTCACCAAAGTTGTAAACTCATAAACTGGCTTCACTTGGTTACTCTGGCTAGTGGTTGGGTATTGGAGTCTTTAAATGCCTGGGTTTCTGTTTTTTGGGTTTTTTTCTTCTGATGTCACAAATATGCTTTTCCACATGTGCCCAAATGTGAATATTTGTTAGATATTGGGTCATTCCACAAAACATCCATACCACCCCCACGGAGGAAATTGGAAGTTAACCCCCTACCCCCTTCGGATGTCCTAATACATTTCGAAACAATTTTTTCTCCCCTCCCCCTCCAGAAATTTCCTCTGGGTGGAGTGTGTATCTTTTCTGGAACGACCCATTTCATTCACACATGTTGTTGCCAGCTTATCAGTATGCAACCACTGACCTATAGTAAACCTGGACTGAATGCTCAATCTATTTCAGTGGTCAGTGGCAGTGCATATTTTAAACGTTTTACAGTGGGGGGCCAAAACCAAGATTAAGGCCCAGTGTGGCTGCCCAGAGTAAGATTTAGGTCACTTGGGGTAAGGTTAGAGCCCAGCTGCACCACAAGTTAGTGGGGCTTGTAGGCAGGGCAGAAAAAAAAGTTCCCAGACCAACAGAGTATTTTTGTGCTAAATCTGCATGTGCATTATAAACATATAGTGTTCTAGCTGACCATGATTTTAAATTCAAGGAAACCATATGTTGTTGCACCCATTGTGGGACATGGATGTTAAGGTTTCCTTTTCAAATTTTCAATAGCAAATATATCCCCATTCAAACGAATTCCCTGCAGCAGTTTAACAGTCCTACCAGCAGTGCTCGACTATTTTTCCACCCCTGCCTCACAGGGCTAAATGCCCCCCTCCCCCCCCGCCAGTATGTATGTTAAAATATGCCTTGGTTCTTGCTCATATAAATTATTTCAGTATTACAGCATGGACACATTTTGAAATTGAGCACTCAGTTCAAATAAATAGTGTTATAGATCAGGGTGACTCTGGCTTCACAGACTCGTTAGAACCTGGTTACTCTGGCTACTGGTTGGGTATTGGAGTCTTAAAATGCCTGAGTTTCTGTGTTTTTTTTTTGTTTTTCTGATGTCACAAATATGCTTTTCATACATTTTTATTATTAAAACATTTTATACAAATATTACAAAAGAAATTAAAATTCTTATGTAACCCCAATTAATTAAAAGCCTACGTTCTGATTTACAAAAAATGAAATAATTTAATCATCTCGTTGGATTTTGTCTTGTGTTCATGACACTAGCTACATGATTCGTTACCTCTCCAGCTGAGGGCTGTTCATACGGAGTGGGGCTGACCTAGCCTACGTGTAGACCCCATCTACTGGGGTCTACACACATAGGCTAAGCTAGCCTGGTTAAACGGGATGATTCGTTTAATAAAGTTCTTATCAAGTTCTTATGACATTTCAATGAAGGACCTTGGTCCCTGGTATACCTAAAACTGTTTAAAATTAGAAATCAAAATACAAAGAATAAAGCTACCTTAGACTCCAGGATAAAACGAAGTACTATAAAATGTCATTGAAAATTACTCATTTTCTCCTTAATTAAATCTTAAGAGGAATTTTATTTCGAAGAGATCGATTTATCTAATTGATTCCATATTAATGCCCTTACAATTTTGCATAGGTAAATTCTAAGCTTGCCTTTGAAGGATTTGTAAATACTCAATCAGTTTCCTCAAATGTTTCTTACAAATCCTTCGAAAAGTTTACCTAAGCAAAATTCCTACTGTGATCACAGAAACTTGAATAGTACTAGTGTAAAACCAGCTTTTACGGTCCGGAAAAAAAGACACGACATGAACAGCCCCCTAGGGAGGCGAATCGGTTAAATACTTGAGTCTGGAAACGAATTTGGTGCAAAAACTGAAAATTCAAACCGGACGTGGACTCATTCTACTAGTTGGATTATAACTGGATCTCGAGGCAGTTGCACGATTACTCGATCCAGCGCTCCCGTTTATCAAAGGCGCGTGTTCTCCACTCCTCTCGTACTCGCCACTCTTATCAAACTCCCCACTCTGAAGTATCTCCCTAGAATTTCGCCATTTTCGACTGCGACGCAATCTCTTCTCCCGGACCTTGCGTAGTTCCTCTTCGCTGGGAGGCGGGGCGAGGTCGCCATCATTAAATGCCCAACCTTTCAGGCTAGTCGCGCCCGCACGGAACGGCGCCCGCGCCAAGAAATGCAGGAGGGTGGCCACGCGATGCCATAGCATGGTCAGAAACTGTATTGCTATGATGAAGCCAAAAACGATCAAAAATGCAAGACCGAGAGGATTAGTGTCGATGACATCAAGTTCGGTTTTTTGAGTCAATGTGTATATTAAAATGATCCATACCAAGTTAGAAACCATAAGACACAGCACGACAGAGTTACGAAGATCGGAGAGTTTGTCGGCCAGTTCCGAGTACTGTCCGAACGCCTTGGATTCGGGTAGGAGTCGTAGTTCGCGTAGTTTCGTCCAGAAGTCGTTCTCGGTGCCATCTCCGTCGTCTTTGAGACGGCCTGTTGGAACTTTACTCAAATCCTGTCTCGCCTCACGAATCTTGCGTTCAACTGTAAGATGGGGAAAATGAGAGAATACAGAATGGATAATTCCAGCTGTAGACTAAATTTTGATCTAGACAAGAAGAGCAAAATCATCACCACAGCTACAGTGGAAAGAGCATGTTAAAATTAGTAAAATTGCAATGTTGTAAAATGAGGAAATAGGGTTGGGCGATATTTCGATATTTTGATTTATCGCGATATTTTCAATCGCGATTATCGTATCGAAGGTAGAAACTTGCGCGACGATATATCGAAATTATCGTCATGGTCGAAGACTATCGTGATATTGCTTCGCATGTGTACATAAAATCCTAAAAAATTCTTTCAATTCCTAGAAAATATAGTTTTTAAAAGAATTAAAACTATTTCCTGAATTAAATACGAATTTAATACGACACAAAAGCTAATATTTATGTATTAATCCACTGAACAATGAAATTGCAGGCTTTGCTTGGGCTGTGTGCCCACAGCATTGTGCCAGCGGAGACACAGTAGACACTGCATAGACAGTTCTGGTTTTTGAACAGTAAATATTAGACTAGAAAAAGCCTTCATATTACTTTAACTTGTTGTTTTTACTTGTTTTTAATAAGATTATATATAAGCTTACTATGTTTGATATTAATTAAACTCGAAAAATGTGGTCATTGTTTTTATTGCATTTATCGCGATATTATCGAATATCGTGATAATTTCCTTGACAATAATCGTGAGATGATTTTTTTAATATCGCCCAACCCTATGAGGAAACTATATATTTGCACCACTTTCGGTATTACGCGCATTTTCCCGCGCGTAATACAAATTAATACAAAATCTGCAAATTTCGCAGGGCTATATTTTCCGCATTTTACAACATTTCGCGGCCAAACTTTGCAATGTTACTAATTTTAACATGCTCTTTAATTCTAGCCGTGGTGATAGATTTTGTTGTTCTTGCCTAGATTAAAATTTAGTTTATATCTGGAATCATTGATTTAAAGTTGCATACTATTTTTTTATATTTAGTCGCCAGGGCCACAGAATAAGTACATAAAGAGGTCTCACTTCTGCGGGAAAACTGTAAGCACAGACTAGATACTAGACCAGAAGTGTCACTCCTATGTGTTTTGGCTTGGGAAAAACGTCCGAAATTGTTTACGTGCTACTAACGCCATTGATGCTGGAGTGCACACGGCCCTTTGTACCTATGTTTGTACCCATGAAAAACTTCCGTGTGCACTCCAGGATGACGTCATATGATGGCGTATTTTCACGTCAGCACTCGTAAAATTTCGGACGAAATATCGTCTGAGTGACACTTCTGGTCTAGTATCTATTCTGTGCCGTAAGGAAGTTTTTACTTCCCTAAAGAAAGGCATTCACCCCCTGGAACATTAAATTTCAATATGTTTTCAACGGCGACAGCTAGCCTCTCTTCAGGCCGGCCTGAATAAATCCCTTACGCTAAATTAATTACCTGAAGTGAGTAATACCTCTGTACAATTCTAAATCGTCTTCATATATAACGTGGAAGAAATTGAAGTTATGAATAACCTGGACCATTATTTACTGATGCTTTAGGACTGGTAGATATATACTCAGTTTAACAAGAAACATTTTCCTTTGTCCATTGTCTGAGAAAAACTGATAAATGTCCGACCGCTTTTTGGTTAAACATCTGGGGCCGGTTGTATAAAACTCTTAATCACTTTTTTAATCACTATTTTGTAGTTAAATAGTGATTAACTCTCAAATTGGTTGACGTTTCCACTTAACTATAGTTAACTTTAATCACTTTTTTATACAACCGTCCCCTGTTCTTTCAGGCACAACAATTAGCCATTTCCCAAACTCCTGGGTCTGGAGGGACAAGAAATATGGCAGGACACATTTAAATTAAAAGTTTAATGTAAAAAGGAGATATTTCATTTTTGGTCGTCTGAAATGTTGATATTTGATAGTAGATACTTCTACTCTTTCACATATTTGACGCCTGTCTCCATATATTTTGTCCCTCCAAACAATCTCAGAATGCACTGTGATCTCTTTTAGGAAAAGGCTAATTATTAGCAGACCTGCACTACAACTTTCCTCATGAATTATTTCTGAGTATGAGAATTTTACATACTTGTACTTGGGTATTGAAGCTTGAGAATGGCGTGTGTCAATTTCTCAACGTGGCCTCTCTTCCAAACCTCCAACTCGTCATGTAGAAGTTTATTCAAGTCAGATGGACTCATAACTTTGAGATCTTCCAAAGCCTTTGGGTTATCATAGCTGTTTGTTTTAAAGTTCAACCAGTACTCGTGAAGGCCCAAATCTGTTAGCCACTTGTCTACATTGTCCTACAGTTTGCGGGCAAAAAAATACAGTAAAACCAGAGCTCTGGCAGGTGCCACGAGGTTTACCACTAGTTACTTTGTGTAGTACTTGAAATATCAATTCTGCTCTCCTTCCTCCACGTACTCTAAGCTTTCAAACAAACTTATTTTTCCTCAACCTGGTCTACTTTATAGCCTAGTTATTTTCGAAAAATTAATGGTTATTTTATGGTTACAGGCTATAGGGTTCGAACATGCCAAGAAGGGAGAAATTCAAGGACTTTTCAAGGACTTTCAAGGCTATATATATCAGAAAATTCAAGGACTAAAGGGCTGAAAAGAAGGCGTTAGAAATCAGTAAAAATTGACGTTCGCTGCTCAAAAGGCAACTTTAATGAATTTCAAACAGCTTTGGCATTTGTAAGACATGAACAAAATCAATTTACAAAATGTCCAATTCTTAAAGGGGAAGTCAAGTCCGTTCTGCGCATCTGTTCTGCTCATAACAATGTGAGGACCTCTAATGTGAACATTGCCCAAATTTCGAATTTTTCTGAACATAAACTCTATTTCATATTCATTTAGAAGCATAGCGAACCAAAATGGTGTTAGATATTCAGACAGTACATCATATTTTAAAAAATACAGCAGTTCAAAATGTAAACAAACCGTTTGTTTACATTACGGACTTGACTTCCCCTTTAATGCCAAACAATTTGAGAAGATATCCACTAAAACTAGAATAATTTTAGGACTTTCAAGCACTTCTTTATAAACTCAAGGAGGTCTTGAATTTTTGTTTCCAAATTCAGGGACCTTCAAGGATTTTCAAGTTTTGTTAAGTTACTTACCGGTACATTGTTATCTAACTCAACCATAGGAAGTTGTTCAATTTCACGCAACAGTTCCTTGCGATGTCCCCGTGTGTCAATCCCGATATCAATCAAATCCTATACAACACAAACAAGTGGTACACATGTGGGCTCCAGTTCTTTTTTATGTCGCATATTTGCGATGAAAAGCGTGCAAAACCTAAAATCGTTCTGGCCTACGTCTCACAATATTTAACATGCAATTTTTGCACAAACCTGGTCAGTCATACCACAGATAAAACTAGTATCATCATAACCATGTTCTTCAAAATTGGCTGTGTAATTCTTCATGAAGTAAAACAAAAAAAAATGGGATTTAACATTTGCTAAAAATGAACATTTCAAATACTAATGTTCAGTGTTATATTAAATAGTTTAAGCTAATCGATTGTTGTTTTTTTTATGTAATTGATAATTTTTCATTGATAAAATTTGTACGTACTTTCATTTTTCCTTTTAGCCACTCGCCAACTGGCGTGTGCGACTTAAATGTCGGCAGTTTGGCCTGGAAATGGACGCTTCTTTTGTCGTCATCCCCAGGGAAACGGAACGCTAGTAAATATATGGATAAGATATTAGACATGCGCTAGGGGAGAGGGCGTAGGGAAGAATACGAGGGAGTGAGGAAGGGGAGGGAAGGTAGTGAACAGGGCGAGGGAAAATATAAGAGAGACGGCGAGGGAGTAAAGAGGGCAGGGGGGGGAGATTAGGGAAGGGAGAAGGCGATGGAAGAGAGAAGGCGAGGGAACGAACAGGGCGGGAGAGAGACGAGGGAAGGAAGAACAAGAGGGATGGGAGAAGGCGAGGGATGGGAGGCGAGGGAAGGTGAGGCAGTAAAGAGGGCGGGGGAGAGACGAGGGAAGGGAGAAGGCGAGGGAAGGGAGAGACGAAGGATGGGAGAAGGTGAGGGAAGGGAGAGACGAGGGAAGGAAGAAGGTGAGGGAAGGGAGAAGGCGAGGGAAGGGAGAGACGAGGGATGGGAGAAGGCGTGTTAGTCCGATAAGGTCCATACATTGAATATACAAAGTGTCAGCTAATGGTTACCGAGCAGTATTCGTATAATCAAAGTAAATACATACCTGCTGGAGCTGGACTGGAGGGTCTCGACGTTTTCTTTAACGCGGACTTTATTGGTTTGCTAGGAGGGGGAAAATGTGGAGAAGTAGGGGACTGGGGACCAAATGAACTTGAACGTCCTTCGCTAGCATGGCTTGATACTTCAGACTCGCTTTTAGTACTTTCTCCGCTTGTCTCCCCTTGGGCTTCTTCAGTTTCTCGTGATGGTGATGGACTGTCAGACTAAGACACATTGATTACACATTGAAATCATAAACAGTTATTGATGGGGACCGAGGGAAGCATTATATCTTGTGGACCCGAGAATACCAATGGTTCCCGAGGCGAAATCGACGGAAACATTGACAATCGAGGATCCACAAAACAAGAAAACTTGATTATCATTATTCAGCTCACTCCCATTGGGGCATTTCAGTGCCCGATTACATCGAGTATTACGCTTACTTGTATTACCTACTAAGTTTAGACTATTTATATTTTACAGCAATTGTGATATTACGGTCCTAACCGTGTTTATCCTAACCCACCCTGTCAACTTTCCTGTGGAAGGAAACCAGAGCGCCCGGAGAAAACCCACGACTTAATTTGGCAGAGCGTTGACTGACTCTTTTCACATGAGTCCGTATCGAGAATTGAACCCGCGAACTCAGAGGTGAAAGCATTGAACTATAAATAAACTGGAAGGCTAACTCAGGGGGTGGGTGGGGGGGGATTGAAGCCAGTGCATTTTAGTTTTTCTGAGTTATGAGCAGAAATACTCAACACTGAACGTTGGGCTATATAAATTGAAGCTATTGAAAAACGCTATTTAGTGTAGAAATTTCAAGACTTTAGCTAAAAGGGAAATATTGAAAAACTACAAAAATAATTCCCGATAATTTGCCATTTTGCAGTTGTTTTTGTATTTTTTAAATATTTTTCTTTTCGCTGAAGTGTTGAAATTTCCACACCGAATAGCACTTTTCAATAGCTTCAATTTGATATATAGCCCGACGTTTGGGGTCAAGTATTTCTGCTCATAACTCAGAAAAACTATTTTGGCTTCAGCAAATCATAGGCCTTCATCATAGCAGTTAGCCTTCCAGTTTATTTATAGTTCAATGGGTGAAAGCCGCTTGCTCTGACGACTGAAGGCGCTTGCTCTGACGAATGCGCTACCGAAGTTCATGTAGTAGTAGTCATGGAGACAGCCTCGTACCCAGGCGCTTTAGAGAAAAAATATATAACCTCTGTCGATGATTCGCTGGTACTGCTTATTTCATTAACAGGTCGAACCGGTTCTGCCGCAGGTTCTTGTACAGGATCTTTACAGCCACGACACATCCACTTCAACTTATCCGCCATCACTTTAGTTAAAGATTCTTCATTATCGGTCTTCGCTTTGTTCTCTCGCGTGCCTAAAAATGAGCGTACGTTGTATATTTTACGTGTTCCAACAACTTGTCAACAGGATGTGTTCGCACTGCTTGTTCCCAGCTTGTTGGCAAGTTGTCAACGTCTTGTTGACAAGTTGCTATACGAGGTTGTTGAGCTCAACAGACTTGGTACAAGCTGTTCCAACAACTTGGAATTCAACAATTTGTCAAGAGGTTGTGAGCGACAACCTTGTAGCAACTTGATGAAATAACAACATTGTTACAACTTGTTGACAAGCTTGCTATAAGGTTGTTGAACTCAACAGACTTGTTCCAAATTGTTCCAACAACTTGTCATCGTCCTGCAATTCAATAATTTGTCACAAGTTGTGAGTGACAACCTTGTAGATAACGACATTGCATGTTACAACTTGTTGACAAGTTGTGAGATTTTTACGTATGTACATGGCGCTCGCTGGAAAAATTTAGCTTACCCCATGATCGATCAGTGAGATTACATACGGAATATATAATGAGGAAGAGATATCCAGACGGCAGACACAGTAGGTACCAGACCCCATGAACCACACAACTCGCCTCGGTCGGGTGGCACAATGCAGTGAGAATGAAGATTGCAACCAAACCGTAAAAGTACCAGGCAGACACAGATAATTCATAAAACACACTTTTTTCATGTTTAGGACTTGAAGTCGAGTTTGAATGTTTAGTTGGAATTGGTGTTTTATCTGTAGCTGTAGAAGAAAAAAAAATATGTTCATAGGTGGAAAACATGACTCAAACTATTAAGTATTATTATTAGCATGACAAAATTATTGGATGCTGATTGGTTGAGAGGAATACAATTATTTCATTAATTGTACTGCATTAAGAGGATATTTTTTTGTATGTTACGTAACACGCGCTCAAAACTAATGCGTATAATACTGTATATCGCTTGAGGTTATGACTACATTCAAAATTTTTATTTTTCGATACGTTTCTCAATCGGCAAACAAACTTAAAAAGTATGTTTAGTGCTTTATCTGTAAAATAATGCCAAAATGAAGAGATTTTAGATCAGTGATACGCCAAAGAGAAAATGATGTCTGAAGTTCAGTAAGTTTTGCTTATATGTAATATGGCTGTAAATATGGCGTCAATTTTAAAGCATCATTGATATTTGTATTTTAATTGACAATTTTTAACTATTATTTTATGTTTCTCAACCGGCAGATGCATTTAAAAAGGTAGCTAACTCTATAAACTAGAGAATAAAGCTAAAACAAAGTAATTTTGAGAGGAACGCCAAAAATATTTTAGGTTTTGAACACTTTTCATTGCAAATACGTGATATTGAAAAAAATTGCCTCTTAATGATTTTCCCAAAACAAACAAAATGGCGGAAAGGTATTTAAACACAAATGAAATTGCCCTAGAGGAACTTAAAGCAAAATAACTAAATGAAAATACGAACAAAAGCACCAGATTTTGGTTGAAAGTCTGGCAGGACTGGGCTTTGCCTTTGGCGAGAGAATATGATGTTGACACTTGACATTGAGAATTATCCAATTTTGTCATGCTAATAATAAACAAGTAATGATGCAATGTTGCTCGTACAATAGGGATTAATAGTACTCGTGATGTTTGGAAATTTTGTCAAACAAAATTTCCAAACATCACTCGTACTATTAATCCCTAATTGCACTCGCCATCGCATGATTACCTATATTAATTTCATACGTACCAAAGGGATCTTCAAATATAAAATTCGCGATGTTTTTTGTGAACAAGAAACGATCTAAAAACAATATGTATAAAGTATTAAAAAACTCATTAATAATTCAGGAGGAAAACACAAAGAAAAATCATAAGCGTGTCGTATCTTTATATGTGATAAAAAATCATGTTAATTTACATAAACTTTAGCTTTGGTTTTCTCAGTTTAGACAAAGTTTATTTTAAAAATTACTTCGCTAATGTACTCATCAGAAGATGGGTCGTTTTTTAAGCCATTTAAAGCACTTGTAGTCGTGTTTTATCAGATATAAAACGCTCGGCTGCGCCTCGCGTTTTATATCTGATAAAACATTCCTACGCGTGCTTTAAATAGAGAATAATACATGGGTGCGCGGAAATACCAGATTTATTTCGAGTGTTGAACATGATATCTCACGAGTGAGGGTAGCGAACGAGTGAGATATCATGTTCAACACGAGAAATAAATCTGGTATTTCCAAGCACCCATGTATTTTTCTGTTTATTATATAAAGGACAGTCCTTTGAAAAGCAATAATTTTTACAGAAAAGCGATAATTTTCACATGTGAAATTATCATAAATAATCTCACATGTGAGATTACCAGTTTTATCAGTGCTCGAAATCTCTATAAAATACTATACTTTATATAATAAATAGTACTAAGTCACAACACAGGTGCTTACGTTAAAGGCCCTGTCACACTATTGCGTATGAAAGAAACGTATGAGAAGCGTATGAGAATTAATGAAATAATTTTCATACGCACAAAAATCCTTTGAAATGGCAGCGTATGAGTACCGTACATCTGGCGTACCTCTAGCGTATTCAGCGTGTGCCTAGAGTATGCTTATCACTTGGATTACAAACCCTATATAATCACTTGGATTACAAACCCTAACATTCTAATAATAATTCCACCAAGTGAAGTGCAAGAAATCACATCATTCAAGTCCACCTTATCACAACCCGCACACCCGATTACCTATATATATATATATACATGAACTTACGGTTACAGCTCAACAGCTGGCCTCTGTAGCTCAGTTGGTTAGAGCGCTGCACCGGAATCGCAGAGCCGTAGGTTCAATTCCTACCAGAGGACCTTGTGCTGCATTTTTCGCAGTCGTTCCTGGTCAGGTCTTAAAATGTATATAATCACTTGGATTACAAACCCTAACATTCTAAAAATAATTCCACCAAGTGAAGTGCAAGAAATCACATCATTCAAGTCCACCTTATCACAACCCGCACACCCGATTACCTATATATATATACATGAACTTACGGTTACAGCTCAACAGCTGGCCTCTGTAGCTCAGTTGGTTAGAGCGCTGCACCGGAATCGCAGGGCCGTAGGTTCAATTCCGACCAGAGGACCTTGTGCTGCATTTTTCGCAGTCGTTCCTGGTCAGGTCTTAAAATGTATATAATCACTTGGATTACAAACCCTAACATTCTAATTATCGTATAAAGAATACGTCCGATACGCACAAAATTTTTGAGCATGCTTAAAAAAATTTTCTGCCTCGCCGTATGCCAGCGTATGCCACCGTACTTGAAACGTATACAACCACTATATAAGCGCCCTGTATGCAACCTGGTCCTATGCCTAACGTACCCCTAGCGAACGTCAGCGTATACCGGCGTATGAGTGATATTTTTCATACGCTGGCATACGCTAGTACGATACGCAATGGTGTGACAGGGCCTTTAAGTATTATATATAATTTTTTATATCTAACCTGAATTGATTTGAGTAGGCAAAGCGAAATCTTCAGCATTGGTTGGTTTTGTTTGTTTCGTCGGTTGTGTCGGCGCAGTAGGACGGAGTGTTGTCACTGCAAGAAGAAATGTAAACGTTATTTTTTGTATTATATCAACTATGAACTATAATACTATTTGCGAAACTCCTATATACTCCTGCAGTTTATACTATAGATAGCTCTCTCTGTTCTAGTGTTGGAAAATTAATGTCCAGCATATATATAGCCAACTGCAACGCTGCCAAGAAATTTTTAACAGAAAATCTTTGTAGGAAATTTTCTTATTGTACATCTGCATGGCCTCCGTAGCTTAGTTGGTTAGAGCGTTGCATCGGAATCGCAGGTTCGATATGTTTCGCGGCTGCTCCTGGTTAGATCTAACAAACAAATGTGTAAATCTACATTCGAAATTTTAATCTACAAAATCCTTCTTACTCTTAGGCTGCGTTCAGACCAAATAAACTGGAAGGCTAACTGCTATGATGAAGGCCTATGATTTGATGAAGCCAAAATAGTTTTTCTGAGTTATGAGCAGAAATACTTGACCCCAAACGTCGGGCTATATATCAAATTGAAGCTATTGAAAATTGCTATTCGGTGTGGAAATTTCAAGACTTCAGCGAAAAGAAAAATATTTTAAAAATACGAAAACAACTGCAAAACGGCAAATTATCGGTAATTATGTTTGTAGTTTTTCAATATTTTCCTTTTAGCTAAAGTCTTGAAATTTCTACACCAAATAGCGTTTTTCAATAGCTTCAATTTGATATATAGCCCAACGTTCAGTGTTGAGTATTTCTGCTCATA